TAATGAGAACTGTGAATGACTAACAGATAAACATGTTCTGCTGTGTTTAGGGAAGACTGATCAGAAAGGGCTTCCTGGAAGAGGCAGCACTGAAGTTGCTATCACTGTGCTTCATACTACCATCTTCTCCCACCCAGACCACAATAACAGTGTCTCTGTTTCTCTCCCTCATATTCTCTCTCTCTCTGTCTCTGTCTCTCTCTCCCCCCCCCACTCTCTCTCTTAGTGCTGGGGACCTACCACTGAGCCACACCAGCAGCCTAACAGTTTCTTAACTGGTCTCCAAACCTCTACTCCCATCTTTTCACCAGCATTCTACTCACAACATGATCTTTCCAAATGTAAAGCAGGTATCACCTCTGCTTAGAATTCACTCTAGCTTCCTATTGTTCGCAGAGCAAGGTAAGCATCTTAGGTTTTACTCTATGAGGTCCTACATCTGGGTGGACCCTACTTCCCTCTCTTCCCTCTCAGAGGTCCAGACTCTGCCCTCTGAGATGAGTCATGCTGACCTCTCAGTTCTTTAAACCCTCTAAGTTCATAACCCCTGCTTTGGGGCATGTTCTTTATCTTATCACTTCTCCGCATTTTGGCTAAGATCAAGTGTTAGTAATGTCCATGTCACCTCCCAGAGTGATCCTCACCCCAGAACATAAGGTCCTTGGAGACAGAGACTGCTTGTCTTGTTCACCAATGTGTTCTTAACACCTATGACATTACAGTGTGCTCAATAAATATTTGTTGACTAAAAGAATAAAAGTTGAATCCCAGAAATGGCAAGGTTGCAGAATATGGTGGCACACACTTGTAATCCCAGATACTCCAGAGGCTGAGGCAGGAGGATCCCACATTCAAGGCCAGGGTGGGCAACTTAGTGAGATCCTGTCTCAAAGTTTTAAAAAGGGCTGGGTATGTAGCTCAGAGGCAGAATGTTCCTAAGTTCAATCACCAGTATCAGCCCCCAACACACACACACACACACACACACACACACACCCAAAAAAAAGAGAGAGAGAGAGAAAAGAAGTGGCAAGCATTCCAACATAAGGACTTCATGAATACAGAACACCTTTGGCTGGATCCTGGAGGGTGAGGAAGAGTGTGTCTGGGCAGAGTCCAGGCTGTTCCCTCACCCCTCATTTCCTATCCTTTTCTTGACCCCACATGCCAGTTTCAACGAGACTTTCCAGTTTCTGTTCTGGACCATGTTTGGCATGGAGGAGCACAGTGTGGTGGACATGCCTCAGTTTCTGGTGCCTGAATTTGTGGGCCGGGCCCTCTATGGCATTTTTACCATCGTCATGGTCATTGTGCTGCTCAACATGCTCATTGCCATGATCACCAACTCCTTCCAGAAGATCGAGGTGCGTGAACCAAGGTCAACCTAAGCTAGTTAGAAGAAGGGAGAAAGGATGGAGAGGAGCAGGTGCAAGGAGTTAAGACACTTGTGTTCCTGCTCTGCCTTCTCTGTGGTCTTGTTTGTGGCTCTGGATAAATTCTCCTCTGAAAAATGAAGGTCCTGGTAATGCTGTTAGTGTCTCTAGACATCAAGTCTAGTGCTCTTTCCTCTTTCCGTCAGGGGGAGGAGTGCATTGTGGAAAAGTAGTTGGGAACATGAGAAGAGAGAGGCAAGGGAGGGGAAGGGTTATGGTTTGCATGCTGGAGAACAGGCTGGGCAGGATCAAGATGTGAGGATGAGAGATAATGGGGAGGGAGAGAGGAAAGGTGGAGACAGGCAGGGGAGAGGTGGGTGTCGGAGGAGTTGGAAGGCAGAATGGGGAGAATGGTTGACACACTGGGGAGTAAGAGATGTGAGGACTGAGGGAGAAGGCCGATTCATTGAGCAGGAGAGCCAGGTGCTAACCTGGTCCTTCACAGTCCCTTGCCTCCTGGCCTCCAGGATGATGCTGACGTAGAGTGGAAGTTTGCTCGCTCTAAGCTCTACCTATCCTATTTCCGAGAGGGCCTGACTCTGCCTGTGCCCTTCAACATCCTGCCCTCCCCCAAGGCCTTCTTCTACCTTCTCAGGTGATGACCTCAGAGCTCTCACCCCAACCCCTGAGCACCCAGCCCCCACACATTACCCAGCTCCTTACCCCATTTCTTTTTCTTTTCTTTCTTTTTTATTTTTTGTTGTTGTATTGGGCCCTGTACATGTTAGGAAAGTACTCTACTACTGAGTCACATCCCCAGACCTCCTGCCCTCATTTCCCTAGAACTGTTCTGTAACTAACCTCTTTCCACCATTGAAATTTCTCAGGAGAATTTTCCAGTTTATTTGCTGTTGCTGCTCCTGCTGCAAAACCAAGAAGCCAGACTATCCCCCAATCCCCACTTATGTGAGTACCTCATCTACTTATTGGCCCTCTCATACCAGGCTTCAACTGTATACCATCCATTTGTGTGCACATCTCTGGCATAGCTATCCTTCCAGCTATGTTCCCAGAACATCCTTTTCCCTCTTCTTGGCTCTGGTCATTTCCTAAATTCCCAGTGCTGTGTTATACAATGTGAACAGAAGTTCATGCCACCCTCCTCCCAAGCTACAGATACTTCAAACTGGGCCAAGATGTGGCTGAATGTTTTTCAGAAATATTTTAAGAAGCCAAGGGTAAATTTGTCCAACCAACTGGGAAATTATCAGGCTGACAGAGACCTGGGAGAGGAAGGTGGGCATCCAGGGGGCTCACTTACTCTGCTTTTCTGTACCCTAACCTGGTCTAGTTGGGCACGACAGCCCCTTCATGTTACTGCCATGTCTTTTGGGGGTTCTCCTATCTCTCCTCTACCTCCTTGCCTTTGCTTCCACCCACTACCATGGGCCTCTCGTAGTCGACCCTTCCCTAGCTTCTGGCCCCGATCCTTCTCACTTTTAGGACTCCACTGTGAAGTGGAGGCAGACCAGGTCTAGGTGTGTGGCCTATAGGGACAAAGAAGTCTGCATAAACTTTGACTTGGTCCTTTATTGCTGGGGTGGCACAGTGATTAGAGGAAGGCTGAGGGTAGAGAAATCTCTCTCACCTTCCTGTCTTCCCATTCCAGGCCAACCAGGGGGCAGGGGCAGGACCTGGGCCTGGGGAGGGAGAGCATGGGTCCTACCGCCTTCGTGTCATCAAGGCTCTGGTACAGCGCTACATAGAGACTGCCCGGCGCGAGTTTGAGGAGACACGTCGGAAAGGTTAGTGGTCAGCCTCCAAGCTTTCCCCACCCCTGTTTCTTGCTCATCACCCCTCATTCAGCCTGCATGGTATGTGGCCCCACCCTACACTTGGAAACCACAACCTGCACAATATTTGCCCCTTGCACTGAATTACCCCCTGACCCATTCAGGCACTTAGGCCATTCGTTTCATTTAATCACCTAGCCCTTTTATTCACCTGTTCATTTATTCACTCGTTCACTTACTTACGTATTCAACCTGTGATTGTTGCTGTGTCCTCCCTTGTTCTAGGCTTGTCTTGAAGGGAGGGGCACTGTATACAGCAGGCATACAAGGGAAGCTTTCAGTATGGGGAGAAGCCATCATATTAGGTGGAAAGAGAGACACAGATTGCACTGGGAACCCAAAGGACAGAAAAAGCCTATTGTTTTGAGAGGGAGAAGTTGGAGAAAAGGCAGGTAGAATTTGAACTAAACCTGAAGGACAGGAATGAGCTAGCCAGGTGTAGATTGGGGAGAGGGCTGTTGGGGCAGATGTACAAATCCCTACCAATTAAAATTTCTCCCCATGAGTCATCTTGCCTTTTCTGACCCACAAGATCTTCCTTCTTTATAGCTCTAAAGCAGCCACCCTCCACCACTACTTAGCTTCATCTACCTCAGATTCTGTCCACTCACTGACCCACTGACCCCTCAGTTCTTCCAGTCCTGGGTCCTCAGGAATCTCAGACAAGGTGTCCCCTGGGGTTCTGTTGAGGGCAGAAGAAATACTGAGTAGGCTCATCTTCTGAAAAACATCCCTCTCAATGTTCCACCTCTCAGACCTGGGCAACCGACTGACAGAGTTAACCAAAACTGTGTCTCGACTACAAAGCGAGGTTGCTGGTGTTCGTCGAAACTTGGCAGCAGGAGGGATGCCCCGGCCTCCTGATGGTGCCAGCATCCTCAGTCGCTATATCACCCGAGTGCGCAACAGCTTTCAAAACCTGGGGCCTCCCATCTCTGAGACCCCAGAGCTGACCATGTCAGGAATTGTGGGGATCCAAGACTCTTTGGAAACTGGGCTTCAGACTGCTGAAGAGGCTGGGGCTCCAGCTTCTAGAGAGTCTGGCCTCTCCTCCCCAGCTCATGTGCTGGTGCACAGGGAGCAAGAAGAAGAGGGGGCTGAGGACTTGGACCCACAAGAGGCTTTGGGGACCAATAGGGATTCCTAATGCAGTGGAAAGGCCTCTTCCTCTACATTCATCAGCGTAGTTGGGTGGGGGCGAGGATCACTTAGTAAGAGCTTTCCTTGCTTCAATAAAGTTACTACTGGTGATATCAGATGCCCACGGAGTATGTGAGAATTCCTGTGTCTTGATGCTTTAAGATCCTTCCTCCACTTCCTTCTGAAATGAACCCTGTGTGAGCAGGGCAGAAAGAAATGGCTTGCTCTGGGCTTCCAGATATTTTTGGGCTTAGAATTCTACTTTGGGATTCCTCAGATCTTTGATGGAAAAGAGCTCTGGACTAGGAGGCAGGAGGCCTGGGAAGCAAGAGGTTTGGCTGCAATACTACCTATCTGACCTTGAACAAGTTAAGTCCCTCTTGGCCTTGTATTCCTCATCAGACAAATAGCGCTGAGAAATCCATCTGTCCCTTTTCCTGCCTTCCTGGGTGCTGTGAGGACCCTCTGGCTGTTAAAGCTTCTGAGTTTGCAAGATAAAGTGTGTGATGGGGGTCTGACAGGAGACCATGTCTCAGAGTGACCAGAAAGTTACTCTTTTTATTTCCTCAGTCCCTGAGCCCGGCAAGGGCAGATGGTCCAGTCTCATGGAATAAACCAATCATATAATTCCATGTCTCCATGCTGCGACACCATTTAATTGAGGCGCCATCATAGTATTTCCCTTGCTTGTCCAAGGAACTCCCCACCAGATAGTGTGCTTCCCTCAACCCTGCAATGGCCTAAGGTCTCCCCACACCCTTTTGGAATATGGCTGCTGGAGGTGGGTCCAGAACCATGGTCTTGCTTCTCAAGGCTATTTGAAGCCCCCTTCTTCATATGAAGGTCACCAGTTCCCAGGATTCCTAAGTGGCAGGTGTTGGACTTTCAGGACCCAGCTCTTGAGAACTGGAACCTCCCAGGAGCCAAGAGTGGGATTTTCTAGGAAAGTAGAAAAGTTCCCCTTGGAAGGAGACTCTGGCTGCTCTACTTCTGGAAAAAGAAAAGAAAGTGAGGGGGCCAGCAGTCCCAGGAGGAGTTGAAGCAGCTGAGAGGTGGCAGGAGAGCGACTTACCTGGTCCAGGCACACATCGCCGCCTCTTCTCCCCTGCAACAGACAGCAGGTGAGACAGACTCACACCCCAAATGTCCTACCCACCAGGCCTTGCCAAGGCCATTTCCCCACTGAATCCATCTTTTCCTTCACTTAAAGGCAAACTTCTGATTTTTCTTCCTTCTCCTTCTCCCAGGAAATCCTTCTAGATTGCCTATCCACCTCTGCTCCCATCACACCCAGTCACTCTTCCATTCTGTCCCTGCCTCAGCACTTGGGAATAGCATATTTGTGTCCTGTCAACCCCATCAAGCCTGGGGCCTCTGAGATCTGAAACAGTACTCCTGTCTTTTTCCTTTGTGTGATAACCTCCCTAACCAAGTTCCTTTGGTCTGTCAGACTATAGAGTAGAACCTTTGTTGCTGGGGATTGAACCCTGAACCTCATGAATGCTAGGGCAAATGCTCTACTACATAGTCATATCCCCAGCAGCAGATGACATGTAGAATCATCTGAAAATGTTCACAGATCTAGAAAACATGGCCCTGGCAGAACCTGAGTCTCAGAACTCCAGCTGAATTTTAGCCTCCAATTTTCATCAAGTGAAACCAAGTGGGTCTCCTGAAGGCTCTGGGAACTGTGTTAAGGACATACTGGCTTTTTTCACCCACCCTGCCAGTCCTGCATCCCCCATGCACAGCTCACCACCCAAAAATGCGCAGTTAAAGTGGCTGCAGATCTGATTATAGCTCCAGAGAGTCACTAGGTTCCGGGGTCCATCCTGGGAGAACCCAGTGACCAAGAAGACTTCATGGGGGGGAATCAGCACCTCACGTTCTTCAGGGAAGACAGACAGGGCCTGAATACGTGCCCCAAAACAAGTCCTTAGAGAGAAGAAGGTGGCATTACCAAACCTGTGGGCTACTGCCTCATCCAGGGAACTGGAGGCAAACTGGCCTAAGCGGACAGAGTCTCCCAACCTCTTGGGTTCAAACCGAAGGCTGCTCACGCCTCTAAACACCACCTCCCTAGATCCTCTACTGCAGCCTCCATGGCTCCGCAGAAGCTGCAGGGCTCTGGTTAGGTAGAAATGCAGGGCTTTGAAGGGGAAGTGTCTCATGTAGTATTCGCGGGAGACACCGCCCATCCGCACGGCCTGATTCAGCTCCCAGTACAAAGTATTAGATGAGTTGGTGTAGACCATAATGGCTATTCCATGCTGGGCTTTGAAGCCAAGGGGCAGAGTGAGCCCTTGACGACGATGTTCCCAGGCCTTCTGGGCTGCCTCCCAAGATTCCCGCAGCAGGGTGTGATGAGCCATCTCCTCCTTTAGCAGGAGGGCTGCCTTCTCCTCCATCTCCTCTAAGCAACCCACATAGGCATCATCGAAGGTGTCTGGAGCCAGGCCCAGGGGCAGAATAGGAACAGCATAGGCCTATGGACATAAGGAGTCACACAGGAAAGAGTATTTCAGAACTCTGGACAAAGAGCCTAGTGGCAGGAGAGTTCAGAAACACAGTGTAAATAACACAGCACTTGAGTCAGATAGACATGGGTCCAAACACCACCTAATAGCTGTGGGATCTCGGGGAAGTCTCAACTTTTCTGGGATTCAGGTTCTGTGACTATAAACTGAGGATATTTCCAACCTCACAGGGTTGTTGTGAGGACAGCATAAAGATCACTTCAGCATAACCTAAAAAGGTTCATCTTGTCATTGGAAAGTTTCCTGCATTCAGCGGGAGTTAAGGCTGGATGACCCCTGGCACTTTTCTGGCTCTAAGATTCAGTATGCAGGTGATGAACATGCAGTCCACATGCAATTACCTGATCCTGTCCCCATCCTCCTCAGACTCTTCCCACTCATCTTTCTGGAAGCCCTTGGAGCCCTCAGACACCACACCAAATCATTGTCAACTTTGAGATTCCTGAGTTCTCTCCTTTAGAGAGAGGACTTTAGAAGCCTTTATCCCAAATTTGGGGGTGGTGTGAGGAGGTCAAGCCCTGGTCAAGGAGGGGGTATGGGGACAGAAGGGCACAGGTGGAGTTTCCAGAGGCTGAACATGGTGGGATGTGAGAAGTGAGGAAGAGAAAGTTGGGAAGGATGACACGAAGGAGGGAGGATCACATGGAGAGCTATGGGGGTGGATGGGGATTCTTGGAAAGGGGATGGGAACCTGGGATTCTCTTCAGGGATGAAAGTTCCCGAGAGGAAGAGGACTGAGAGGTGAGGAATCCTAGGGAAAAGTCCCTGGAAGACAATTTTGAGGAGACATCCCTCAAACCAGCTCCTCGGGGTCTGCCCCCAACTTCCCCCTTTGTGGCAAGGAATGGTTCCTCAGAGTTACCTGCCGGAAGAGGGTATTGAAGCCCAGGTAGCTGAGGGTGATCAGCAAAGCCACCAGCATCATGCCGGGGCCAGATGAGGCTCACGGCGTTGGAGTCCTGGCTTCGATGGACTCCAGCACTCTTCCTCTCTCGCAGCGTGAGGGGTCCCTTGGTTGGACTGGGGTCCAGGTGGGACGAGGGCGGGGCCAAGGGCGGGCCTAAGGGTCAGCGGAGGCCTTGAATTTTACAGTCCCCTGCACACCCCTGAGTGTCTGCTCCCCAGACTACCAGACGCCCCCACACTCAGTATCTCCAGTCTTGTGGCTTTTTTTGGCTAAGCAAGAACTCCCCCACTGAGCCGCATCCCTTGACCCCCCCTCCCCGCTTTCTTTTTTTGAGACAGCGAAGATGGGGCGATCACAGGGCTCCGCCTGAAGGAGTGAGGAAGGGTTGGGGAACCCAGGACCCACCTGGAGGTTGTGGAGGCAGAAAGCGGGAAGGAACCCAGAAGGGGCTAAAGTTCCTGCGGGCGCAGCGCTGTCCCCCGACTGCTAAACAAAGTCTCCGCGGCTAACTATAGCCCCAGCTGTAACCCGACACCTGTCTTCTGCAACTACAGACCCGGCGTGGGCAGGGTAAGGGGCTGAGGACGAAACTGCCTTGCCCAGAGTCTGCAGGTTCTTTCTCCAGGACCCTCTTTGGCCCCGAGCAAGGCCAGGGCTGGGGGAGGAACTTGTGAGATTCGGCCTCCCCATCCAGGGTGCCCTGACCCAGCCAGGCCCGGCCCCCAGACCAGGAAGAGGGTCGCCCCGCTAGGGTCCCTGGTTGCTAAGAAGTGGTGACATGAGCACTCGCTAGTTTGCATACAATTTGCATATGACCCACGCGTTGGTCACGTGTTCCAGTCTCAGACTCAGGTGACCCCGTGTTTGTAAACACTAGCTTTCCCTTCCACCCTCTGTAAGCTTGACTATAAATAACCTGGCTCTGAGTTTTGGATGCCCAAGTAGAGGTAATGAGAGAAAGGGCCAGCTGACTTATCAGTAAATGGCTCAGGGAAGAGCTTTCTGACAGCCTGAACATGGAGGAGAGAGTGGGGGTCCTGAACGTCAAAATTTAAGAGATGTCACCTGATGGGGCTGGATTAGGCATGGGAAGTTAGATCTACACAAAGGTCTCTATCCTGATCTTGTTTTACTAATTTGTCCCATCCCTGCCCTGCTCCAACCCTTCAGATTGTCCACCAAATAAAGAGTTTCCTTCACCTGAATCCTTTTTACTCCCCAAACCCTTCCTAAAAACCAAAGAAGATAACAAAATGTGTCCAGGTATGGGGCAGGTAGAGAGGGAGATGGAAACAGTGGCATCTTCCCAGACAGAATGCCTGATAGGGAAATAGCTTCAAGAAAAGTTCTTTTGCTCCTTTCCAATGAGACTAGCCACCTGAGGCCCTCCTAGGTTAGAGAATCAGGAGGCAGTCTACCATTTACCATAATTGTGAAAAATAGCACCTTGCCTACATATCTTACCTGCCCCTCTGCCTGGAGGGACATGAGTGTTTGCAGTTGCAGGGACAGAGGATAGAGTGGGGACAGCTTGGCCTACTGGAACAGCCCCCAAGGACCAGACTTACTGAAATCATTGCATTGTTCTCTCTCCACCCTCTGGCTTTGAGGAACTGCTTCTCCCATCCTAGGACCTAAAATCCCCACAAGTACTCAAGTGATGGACAGGGGTGCTGAGTGGGGTAGAAAGTCCTTCCGGATCACATGGCAAATCAGAGTTGGAGCTGGGACCTAGAACCCAACCTCCTTATGCTGAATCTCTCCTTCCACCTCAGATGAGTCGATATTCACAAGAAAGGAATAAAATGCAAAGAGAAGCCTTCTGAAGCCAGGGTTATTGAAGCCACCCTCTCTTTTTCCTTCTTGGTGAGCAGGGCATAGGACCAAACCCAATGAAGAGGTAGTTTTCCCAGGCAATATCCTCCATGCCTCAGCCGACCTTCCATCTGGCTTTAGGGATTCCTTTTTTCTTGGGCAGAGCACTGGGTCCATCAGACTGGGCAGAGAGACTTGTGTTCCTGAGCCTTGAGGAGACATCCAGAAATAGAAGGGGGGGTGTCACATTTCTGAGCAGCTGTGTGTGGGAGGTACAAGGGGTGGGGAATTGACAGTATAAAGGAGAAATCTGTCCTCCCCTCCCCTGGTGACCATCACCGGAGACCACCAACAGCTTCCCCACCCTGGAAAAGGCCTAGGTAAGGGACAACCCACACTCCTCCAGGTTGTGAGGCAGGGAAACTTTTTTGAAGTGAGATTTGGGGGATTAATGGAACTTTTAGGAATCATAAGGAAAAGTTTTAGGGAACACTTGATAAAGAGGTTTGGGATACTGAGGAAGGTTTGGGGTCATAGGGAAATTTGGGATTCCTGGGGAGAGGTATATACTCACATTTCCAGAAGGGAACGTTCAAGATGGAAAAGAAGAAACTAACAAGAGAATTGCTATGAACAGGATGAAAGGAAGGACAGAGGAAGGGCAGCTCCCTTGACTGAAGAGAGATTGCCCACTATCTCCACTTCCTCACTTCCCCATTATCCCTAATCCCTCTGACCTCTGTCCCATCTCCCCCTGAAACTTGTCACCAAGGTCAGCCATCTACCTGCTCTTCAGTGTTCTACCTTCTTAGCTGTGCCCCAAAAGCCTCTCCGACTCTCAGTAATCCTTCTGGGGGGGTCTCATCTTCTGGGTTGCCTGGCCTTGGGCCGAGGTCAAGCCTGGTCTCTGTCCAAAGTAACTCATGGGCCAGGAGGGGAGAAAGGCATACATGAGGGCAGCTCTGTATACTTAGGGCAGTGACAGAGGACAGCATAGTATCATGGAAGGGGGAGGGGTAGAGGAGTCAGTGGGCTTCCTGAAGGAGGTAGCTCTGGGCTAAGCCTTGAAAAGTGAATAGCCAGGAGCAGGGTGTCCCAGGGAGAGGGGAAACAGCTGGACCTGTTTGGAACTTGGTTGTGTACTGCAGAAGCCAAGCAGAGGTGGAGGGGAATGGGACTAACGAGGTACAAAGGGCCTCAAAGGCCAGAATACAGGGGCTGAGGATTTAACTCAGTTGGTAGAGTGCTTACTTTGCATGCATGCACAAGGCCCTGGGTTCATGGGCCATCAAAAAAAATTTTTTTTTAAGTCTGGGGTATAGAGATTGGACTTTATCCTGAGGGTGTGAAGGGATGTTTCATTTTCTTTTGCAAGACATGTTCTCATCTCTACTGCCATAATTGTCATCTCTGCATTTTTACTCTAATTTTTTTTTGGGGGGGCACACATAGGGCCTTGTGCCTGCAAGGCAAACACTCTACCAACTTAGCTATATCCCTAGCCCTTTACTCTGCTTTTTTTTGAGATATTTCTTCCAGTCAGTTTTGGGACAGAGGGTTTTTAAGCAGATTAGGAAGATGACTAGAGCTTCAGCCACAATGAATGTAAAATAGCATCATAGGAAGATCGTTCTTCCTTCTTGTTCTTTTCTCCAAGTCTCTCTTGTTATCCAGTTGTAACTTATTAATGGTCAGGACCTGAGGTCGAGTTACCATGAAGTTGGAGTATGAGAACTCTTCATCTGCACTGTTCCCTGCTTCATGATAATCTAACAGGGGTGAAAGAGGAGGTAGGGAGGTCTCCAAGGAGGCAAGTGCAGACCTGACTGTGGGGTGAGAGGGGATGAGCAAAGGGAATGAGAATCCAGGAGGGGTCCATATTGTGCCCAGCATTAGTTGGTAACTACACTTTTTGGTTTTGTTTTACAATGTGTGGGTTATAATCCAGGGCCTCCCTCATACCAGGCAAGCACTCTACCACTGAGCAACATCCCCAGCCCTTTTTAAAAAAATTTGAGACACAATCTTGCTGACTGGCCTTGACCTTGTGATTCTCCTGTCTCCTGAGTAGTTAGGATTACAGGGATGTACCACCACACCTGGCTCAATGTCTCTTATCATCATTCAGCTACCTCTTGGACATCTGCCCTTGGAGAATTTGCATTTACAAACTGAAATCACCATGTCCCCTCCAAACCAATCATTCATTCAATGCATTTTTAGTGAGACTCTCTTGTGTTCTGGGACTGCAAAGAGCAAAATGGGCCTTTAAAATCTATTCAGTACAAGATAGTGCCCATAGTTAACAATTGGATACTAGGCACTTAAAAATTTGTAAAGAGGTTAGATCTAACATTAAGTGTTCTTGCCACACATACACACACAAAAAAAAACAAAGCAAAACAAAAGAAATAAATAAAATAAAAGAAAAGGGATATAAAAAAATTTTTTGAGGTGATAGATATGTTTAATATTTTGATTGGGGTGATGGTATGAGCATAACATTTCCAAACCATATCCCAAATTAATATTCACTTAATTAAAATGAAAAAAAAATAAAAAGAGATCAATAATATCCAGCATTGGCAAAAACATGGAAAAAAGAGCACTTGCCACCTTTTTTAAAAAATATATATTTTTTAGTTATAGATGGACACAAAACCTTTATTTTATTTGTTTATTTTTTTATGTTCTGGGGATTGAACCCAGTGGCTCATGCAAGGCAAGCACTCTACCACTGAGTCACAACCCTGGCCCTCACCTTCATTTCTGATGGGGACAAAATGGTACCTTTTTGGATGACAGTTTGGCAGTGCCTGTCAAAATTAAAGACATTCATGTTCTTTAAATATCATTCTACTTCTTGAAATAATTCCTATAAAAACATGCACACAAATAGACAAGAATTTATATATATGAATGTTCACTATAAGTGATGCATAATATTTTAAAATTAGGAAAAATACTTAAGTATCTATCATATGATTTAACTATACCATGAAATACACCATGCTGTCATTATAATTAACAAGGTAGATATGTATATACTGACATGGAAGGAAATCCATAATATATTGTTTCTTGGCGGCAGTGGGGTGGGAGGTAATAGGATGTGCATATGTAAGCATGTTTCCTTTCTGAAAAAATGACAATAAAAACCAGAACAAGGGGCTGGGGTTGTAGCTCAGTGAAAGAGCACTCGCCTGGCATGACGTGAGGCACTGGGTTTGATCCTCAGCACTACATAAACCTAAAAATAAATAAAAATAAAAGTATCTGTCTACATACAACTAGGGAAAAAAAAAGCAAAAAAAAAAAAAAAAAAAAAACAAGTGGGGCTTGTTTGAGGCCAGCCTGGCAACTTAGCAAAATCCTGTCTCAAAATGAAATTGGTAGGCTGGGGACATAGCTCAGTTGGTAGAGTGCTTGCCTCATATGCACAAGGCCCTGGGTTCAATCCCCAGCACCATAAAAAAATTTAAAAAAAGAAATGGGCTGGGAGGTCTGGGATGGCTAGGATGTAATTTAGTGGTGGTGGTACATGCCTGTAATTCCAACAGCTTGGAAGGCTGAGACAGGAGGATCAAAAATTTGAGGCCAGCCTCAGCAATTTAGTGAGATTCTATTTCAAAATAAAAATTTTAAAGTGGTAGGGATAAGCTGGGCACAGTGGCACATGCCTGTAATCCCAGTGACTTGGGAGGCTGAGGCAGGTGGATCACAAATTCAAAGCCAGCCTCAGCAACTCAGCAAGGTCCTAAGCAACTTGGTGAAAACCTGTCTGAAAATAAAAAATAAGGGGCTGGAGTTGTGGCTCAATGGTAGAGTGCTTGCCTAGCATGTGTGAGGCACTGGGTTCGATCCTCAGCACCACATAAAAAAATAAATCTATAAACTAAAGGTATTGTGTCCATCTACAACTAAAAATATATTTTAAAAATAAAAATAAAAAAGGCTGGGATGTGGCTCAGTGGTTAAGTGCCCCTGGATTTGATCCTTGGTACAAAAAAAAAGTGCTGGGGATGTAGCTCAGTGGCAGAGCACCCCAATACAATACCACAAAATAAAAATAATAAATTAAACCAGCTGTCTATAGAAAACTATATATATGCATTTAAATATATTATTTGTATATTCTCTGAGAAAGTTCTGAAAGATACCCTTATCACTGGTCTCTCTGTTCCCACTGGCAGGGGTAGGTAAGAGTGGGAAGGACGTGTGCAGAAAGTGAAAGAAGAAAGGGAACTTGGATTTTGTGTTTCATATACCTACTTACCTGGCAGCAAGCACATATTACTTCGAAATAAAATAATAAAAAAGAGGAAGGCCGGATGTGGTGGTGCACACCTGTGATCCCAGTAGCCCGGAAAGCTGAGACCAGGAGGGTCTCGAGTTCAAAGCCAGCCTCAGCAAAAGTGAGGTGCTAAGCAACTCAGTGAGATCCTGTCTCTAAATAAAAAATACAAATTAGGGATGGGGATGTGGCTCAGTGATTAAGTGCCCCTGAGTACCATCCCCTCCAAAAGGGAGAGGCAGGGAGGAAGAAGAAAGATGCAGCACAGTAGCAGCAGCCCTGAATTGGAGACCACCTGTCCGATCCTGACCCAATGCTGGAACACCCTCTTCTCAGTCACTTTGGGCCCTCAGGGTGCAGGAAGCTGTGGTTCATCCTGCTTCCCAGGGGAGGTGGATGCCCTCTGTACACTCCTCTCTCCCAGCACCAGGGGTCTCTATCAATCCCTCACCGGAAGCAGCTGAGGTTTGGGAGAAGAGGGCTCAAGAGATCTGCAGAGAAAGTGGAGGACCTCTGGATGCCCCCAGGCCCTGCTTTGTCTGTCCCTAGAGTCCTGCTATCGCCCCACCTGCTGACTGCTCCTGGAACTGCCCCTGTTCTGGCCTCACATCCCTTGTGAGGTGAAGCCCAGTCCCTTCACGACTGGTCTTCCCAACATTCCCATCCCCACAAGCTCTGCCAGACTAGATAACATGTTATTCACTCTTTATCCTCAAAGTTCCTCCTTCTGGTACCTTTACTCTTTCCATTGCTGCTGCCCCAAACTCCTTTTTCTCTTCAAGCCCCAACTTTTTCTCACCAAGTCTCAACTTGCTGTTATATTGATCCTAGTTACATGTCATCTCCTCCAGGAAGTCTCCCATGTTCCTTCCAGCAAGAAGAGTTCTCTCGGGCTGGGGTTGTGGCTCAGTGGTAGGGTGCTTGCCTAGCAAGTGTGAGGCACTGGGTTCGATTCTCAGCACCACATACAAATACATAAAATAAAGGTCCATCAACAACTTTAAAAAAAAAGAATTAAAAAAAAAAAGAGTCCTCTCTATTCTGAACCTTCATTTATATCTTGGGTGCTCTGTGCGAAGCACTGGGAGTGGCACACACTAGGTGTCAATTAACATTTATTAAACTGTGTAGATTAACATTGCAATTTTCCAGATGAGGAAAAAGACACAGCAACTTGCCCAGGGTCAACTCCAATATGCAGATTCCTGCCATGATGCCTTTGCTACTTGTGTCCATGGGCCTCATGGACACACTTCAGGTACAGTATCCTCTACTGTCCCCATCACCCCAGCAGGGAGCTTGGCTGTCAGCTTCTGAACCCTGGAAGGAGAAACAGAGGGTGGAAGGAATGTCACTTCCCTTGGGGATCACTCTGCCTAAGGGGGCAACCCCAATGCTGGTCTTGGGGAGCTTACAACCGGCAGTTCTAAATCCTCTACCCCTCCAGGTGTGCTTGGGCCCTTTATGCCTTTCTCAAGCCTTATCTCATGGAGGGAGAACTGGGTAATAAGGGCCTCATTCTCACAGGGGCATATCCTCTCGTCCTTGCTGCTCCCTCCCATTCAGGTCCACAGCCACCTCATCACACAACGAGATGTCTTCTCTCAAGAAACACCCCTAGACATGGCCCCAGCCTCCTTTGATGACCAGTACACTGGCTGTGCAGCAGCTATGATGGCTGCCCTTACAGATCTCAACCACACGGAGTTTCAGACCAATAAAGTGTATGCAGATGGCTGGGCACTGGCAAACAGTCAATGGCAGGAGCGCCAGACCTGGGGGCCAATGTGGGGCCTCAGCCCTACCCGCCTTCCCCCACCACCTCCAGGCTTCCGAGATGAGCATGGGGTGGCCCTCTTGGCCTATACAGCCAACAGCCCCCTGCACAAGGAGTTCAATGCAGCCGTGCGCGAGGCAGGCCGCTCTCGGGCTCACTACCTCCATCACTTCTCCTTCAAGACACTCCACTTCCTGTTGACTGAGGCCTTGCAGCTGCTGGGCAGGGGTCAGCGTTCACCCCAGTGCCGCCAGGTGTACCGAGGGGTGCATGGCCTGCGCTTCCGGCCAGCAGGGCCTGGGGCTACAGTAAGACTAGGGGGCTTTGCCTCCGCATCCCTGCAGAATGTTGCAGCCCAGCAGTTTGGAGAGGACACCTTCTTTGGCATCTGGACCTGCCTTGGGGCTCCTATCAAGGGTTACTCCTTTTTCCCTGGAGAGGAGGAGGTGCTAATCCCACCGTTTGAGACCTTCCAGGTGATCAATGCCAGCCGACCCGCCCAAGGCCCAGCCCGCATCTACCTCCGTGCCCTGGGCAAGCGCAGCACATACAATTGCGAGTACATCAAAGGTGAGGAGGGGCACAGGGTCAAAACTGTGCAGAAAAGTGGGCTTCTGCATCTACAAAGGATTTTGGCAAAACTGAGCCCCGTCCTGTGTCCCAGGGATACCTTCATACATATTAAAAGTAAACCATCAGTGAGGAGCAGCAGTCATGGCACAGTCCCTCCAGCCTCCCATTGTTTCTGAAGTGGAATGCTTCTAGTCCCTGAAGGTATCTAGGCCACAGATGGCCACCTGCTTGATGGGAGGCTAAAGAGGGCTCCCTGACCAAGGCAGGGTCATAAGCTATCTGAGGGGGCAGGCACACCTGGTCACACTCTTCTCCCAGCAGGAAAGGAACTCATTTCCAGCTACAGAATCAATACACAGACTGCTGTGGCCAAAAATGAGTGAAAGTCCCAACTTCCATTTCTAGGAGAAGCATATTTATAATACAGAATAGGAATTGTGTGCTGTATCATGTGCTGGGTTGGGAGGGGGCGAGACAGCAGCTGGCGTTACACTCCAAAGTTTCACTTCAGGCTTAGGTCAGGCAGGTGTTGATTGCCCCTCCTGTCCCATCCTGGGTCTGGCTGGAGACAGAATCATGAGGTGAAGACAGGTCCATTAATTTCTGAAGAGGCTGTGCACTGCTGTTCCTGGCCGAGCAAGGCTCAGTTTTATTTATTCTTTTTAAATAGTTGTAGATGGACAACATGCCTTTATTTTTATTTATTTACTTTTTTATGTGGTGCTGAGGATTGAACCCAGTGCCTCACACATGGTAGACAAGTGCTGTGCTACTGAGCTACAGCCCCAGCCCAAGGCTCAGTTTTCATAGAGGACAGAACTGTGACCCCGGCTAAAATGGTCCATTGTGGCTTCTGGTCCCAATTTGGACAGGAAGCATAATGACATGAGCTGACAGAGAAGACAGGCCAAAACACAAGTCCCCTTGGCTGGTTCAAGGAGCCGGAGAGGTGAGTGTAGCAAGGAGGCACAGTTACAGCTATGGGAGCAAAAGTCACCCAGAAGGGGCCCTAGCTTTGATGACTGCCTTCTGGCCCCACTGCTCATGGATCAAGTTAAACAGCCCAGGGAATTCCCATCCTGGGCTAGAGGGAAATGGACCAGCAGAACTAGAAGGAAATGGACCAGCTTTTTCTAAGCAAGACAGGGCTGAGTCACCAGAGCTCTGAGGGTTCTTTTCACCTGGAAAGATACTGAGACTTTTGTTGATTTTTTGCTCTTTGTTTCCTACAGACAAGAAGTGCAAGTCTGGATCCTGTCATCTGGATAACTCAGGTAAGGGCCGCAGGCATCCGAGAGACTCAGGGTAGGGATGGCCTTTTACTTCAGCTACAGAACCCACTGTCCCTATTAATGTATTCAGTACTTGCTCAGACCCACCTTTGAAGGCCAAGGCCTGGTCTTGGGTTCTGGAAGTCTGGATTCTAGTCCCGCCTCTACTTTAATTTTCTCTATGACCAACCTGTTTTTCTCTGGGCCTCAATTTCCCTATTTGTAAATAAGCAAATAAGACCAGATGTCACCAGGGTTTCTTCTCTTCCTTTGAACACCTATCTATGCTAGGGCTTACCTGGGCCACCACTTCTCTTTGAGGAAATAGGCTACTTCCAGAGAAGAAACAGCAACTCCCCTGCCCCCAGCTGTGGGTCCTTCCTCCCTTCCTCTCTTGGGGGCTCTCCAAGTCACCGGCAGGAAGGATCCCAGTCTCATTTTGTTCTCCCCATTCTCCTGACAGTAGTACTTAAGAGTTCCAGGTGCATCACAACATTATCCTACCATACTCCAGTATCACCCCATTCTATGGAAAACAGAACTAAGGCCCAGAGAGAAGCAACCAGCCCTTGGCCACACAGCTCCTAAGGGGCTGTAGAACCAAACTCTGAACCACCCTACAGGATGGCTCCCACCTTCCCCACACATCATCTCATCTATCCTTACCAGACAATAGTCTGCTAGAAGGAGGCAGAACAGGATTATGGACCTCATTATATATAGTAAAGTGAGACCAGAGACAGAAGCGACTTGCCTAAGGTGACAGAATAAGTGTCAAAGCCAAGACCAGAGGCTATCCCAGCCACAAACTCAGGCCTCTTCTTTAAGTTCTGATATAATTTCAGACACTGGAAGAATTTAGGATGTCTCCCCCACAGTCTACCCAGCATGTCTCCTACCAGGTATGGGCAGAGGAGCCAAGTTTAGCATTACTAGACCTCATTCTATCCCACCCTCACACCACATTTTTGTCGACTTCAGAAGGCATGGGGTTCAACCTAAAGACCTCTGGAAGGGGAACCTGGGCTCTCACTGATCTCTATATTAGTCTACCTTACTCTCTCAATTCTTGCGTTTCATCTGTCTTCCATTATATTTTGTGTATCAGTCCTGCACACTCTGACGGTTTCTCCATCCTGTTTCTTTTTTCTTTTTTAGTTATAGTTGGACACAATACCTTTATTTATTTTCATGCCGTGCTGAGGATTGAACCTAGGGCCTCACACGAGCGAGGTGAGTGCTCTACCACTGAGCCACAACCTCAGCCCATTTTATTTTTTTTCTTTTTAATATTTTTTTTTTAGTTGTAGATGGATTCAATATCTTTATTTTATGTGGTGCTGAGAATAGAACCCAGTGCCTTAGCTAGGCAAGCATTCTACCGCTGAGCCACAATCCCAGCCCCTCCGTCTTGTTTCATAATGTCCTCACTTTGCTCCTAAATCTCTCTCTCCCTCCCCATCTTTGCTTTCCCTGCAGCTACAGGTCAAGGCTCCCTCTTCACAGTCTGGTCCCTTCTGCTGCTGCTCCAGTTCCTTGTCGTGGGGTCCCTTCCAGAGAGTCCAGGCTTCCTCTGATCCATCAGACACTGAGCAGCCTTACCTGACATTCTGCCAACCTAAGGATGTTGGCCATGTGTGTACTTTAAGTGTAGCCAAGATGCCTGGTAAACCCATTTGCAGGGATCTGGGACCTTCTCTGACAGCTTCCAGACCTCTCAGACCTGGAGACACAATAAAGAATTTAGGGACTGAATCTTCCACCAGGGTGCTAGGAATGATACTCTGACTAGAGGCAGGAGGATTCCAGAACAGGCAATCACTCACTTGGAGATAAAAGAGATTTCAATTTATTGGGGGCTGACTGGGTAGGAAAGCACTTGGCCATAGGACTTGCTAGTGTAATTCAAATGCTTCACATATTTACCTGGAAAGCTCTAATTCACTCCTCCAGGAAGCCTTCTCTGACCTCTGCCACCTGCCTGGGTTATGGGCCCTGCCTCTGTGAATGCTTCCCATATCAGATTGTGAGATTCCTGAGGATAGGGACCGAGTCTGAGGCACAGAGATAATGCCTGGAACTGTGTGGAAGTCAGAAAGGGACAAATTCCTGTGAAAGGCTGGTCTCTGCACTGCCCCTACTTTGGACACTTTCAAGCTCGCCAAATGTAAGTGTGTGGGAATTGGATGGACTGCATCTAAGTCCAGAGCTCAGAGAGAAGAAGAAATAGAGCTTTAGGCCCTCTCTGAGAGTCCCAGCCAAATCCCAGTTTTCTTGTCAGCAAAGATGTTAATTTATGCTGTGATTCATGAGTCCTGAGGTGCCTGTCTCTAGAGAAAAACATGGATCCCTGACTTCTGCCACCATAGACCACCAGGGGAAGACAGGACATCAAGGAGATACTAGGCACACACTTTATTATAGATTAAGGCTTTGGAAACAGATGTCTGTTTCACTTCTTGCTCTGGAAAGCAGACAACGAATTGTTTTCCCTGAGCCCTACATAGTGATAGGCAAGACCGACCATGTTTCCAAAGCAGTGGCTGCCTATAAAGACAGGAAATGCAGTAACCCTCTTCCTTCTCTTCCTTCTTCCTTCCTTCCTGAGCTGGGGATTGAATCCAGGACATTTTAACACTGAGCTACATTCCCAGGCCTTTTTTAATTTTTGAGACAGGGTCTCGCTAATTGCTGAGGTGGGCCTCAAACTTGTGTGATCCTCCTTCCTTAGCCTCCTGAGCTGCTGGGATTACAGGGGTGCACCACCATACCCCGCTGCTGTTTCTTATGTAATCACCTGCTCTTTCCCCACTAAGAGCTCTAACTCTGAGCATGCTCATTCAGTTCTGTCCAAGTTTATACTTCGATCTTGATCCTTCCTGGAGTTCTTCTTTAGGAATTAGGGCAGTGTTAGGATCTGGATCCCGCTTAGTCAGGGCATGGACACAACAAGGGTTCCTTGTAGATTGTGAAATCAGCAGTACTGATTCTGAAGAGAGGGTTTCCCAGGGTTTTAGCAGCAGTAAGGAGAGGCTGGATTATTTGAGGATCAACAACCACCTGGCTTTTGCCATCCATCCTGTGGCTGCTGTGGCTATGGATGCTTTCTGGGACCCAGTCCCAGCTCCTCACAGGGCCTGTACCAGCACCAGAAGACTCATGACCAGGGCCATGGAAAAGAAGATTCCCAGGAAGAAGCGGTCCATCACACGTGCCAGGCGCTTCCAGTCTTCACGGCGGCGCTGGGCAGCCCTGTGGCTGCAGAAGGTGCTGGCAATGGTGGATACATGGTGTAATAGGGCTTCCTGCCTGCACAGACAATGTGGCTCATGGCAAGGCCCTGCTGGGGGGCCAGCAGGCGGCTGGGGGCTGGGGACTGGCTCCGGTGGCCTGGGCTGTCCACAGGGCTCCCCTCGTTCTCGCACACACAGGCCTCTTGCCAGGTGTCCTAGCAGGAGGACCCTAGCCCAGGCTGGTACTGGGCGGGCACTGGGACCACAGTAATGCAGATTCATGATAAGGATGGTAAGTGCTGTCGAGAATGTAACCATGGTCATAGTGGCCATGTAGTACTTCCCTGTAAGAGAAATAACCAGTTGGGGTCCCAAAGAACTTCAGGATCATGAGTTTCTCAGCTGCCTTCCCCTAAATAGAAGCCCTCCAGAAGGCTTTGAGGACTCTTCAAACCCAATGAATAGAAAAGCAAAGGAGTTAAGAGCCCAGTTCTCCTCATTCCTCATCCCTCCCAGTGCACCCTCAGAAGTTGCCTGCCTCCTGCTTGTTTTCTACACTGGTGGAGGCCCATATAGTTATGGGCATACTCTCAGGCTACATGCCAATCCTTTCTATACAACTGGGACAACAAGACGTTGTCCACAGACGTCTGTGGTAATGCTCACCTAAGTTAATAAATGTCAAACACGCAGAAGAATGCCTGGCACACAGGGAGCACACAATACATTTTGCCTATTATCATATGATCTTCCTTCATCAAAGCCCCAAGACTGACTCCTTCCCGCCCCTAGTGGTGAGGGCTTTTCTACTTTTTTCCCCTCACTTCAAAATGCAGGATGCGCCCATGACTCACTCTCTCCCACTGAAGCAGAGCCACTCTGCGGCCTCAATCCCTGAATCCGCTCCTGGTTGGGCTGGAGCTCAGCGCTCCCCTGCCCTGTATTATGGATGCCCAGGAGCCTCAGCCCAGAAGGGGACCACCTCTCCCAACGTCCAGGCGGGCTCACCGATAAGTGGCACGCTCTCTGCTGGAGGCATACTCTCAGCCAGGAGCAGCTGGAAGACGGTGAGCGCCAGTAGCACGGTGACCCCAAGTGACACCTTCTCTCCCGAATTAGCTGGTAGGTGGAAGGCGAGTGGCGCAAGCAGCGAGATGAGCACGCAGGGAAGCAGCAGGTTGCACACATAGGCGGCGGCGCGGCGGCGCAGCAGCAGCGTGAAGGTCACGTCGGGGTAGGGCTCTGAGCAACAGCCATAGGTGAGCACACGCCGCCGGGCCGGCATGCCCAGCACACGCCACTCCACGTTTTCCACGAAGTCAGCCAGGCTGGCGGCGGCGCCACGAGGCCGCACATCCAGCTGATGCCCACCATGTGTCCATGAGCCAAACGTCAGTCCACAGCGCTGAGCGTCGAATGGGAAGGCTGACACGTCTACGCGGCATGAGCTACGCGTGATGGCCGGTGCATCCCAGCGCACTGCGCCATCATGCCGCACAACCACATTCGTGCTGGCGGATGCCGATGACTGCGCGTCAGCCCTGCGAGCAAGCGGGACGAGGCTCACCAAAGTGGCCACAGCGGAAGAATGCCCCTTAATTCATAGAGGGCAGTGCAGCACCAAGGGTGGAGTATGCCGTAAAGTGAAATTCCACCTTTGGAGGTCTAAAATATGTAGTGCCTGAAGGAGTCTGAAGGGACACAGTGCTAGCCCAGGACAGGACAAAAAGGCTTTTGTAAAACTGGTGGTGACGTTGGGAGTATCCTTGGGTATCATCTTCAAAACTCATTAGAGGGCCACGGGAAAGCTATGTAATACCACGTATTATTTGGGAGAGACAGAACTGATTAAGGTGGCATAAAAGAATGCTTCAGAGAGCTAGACCCTGGAAGAGAAAGCTCTGGGAATCCCCGAGACTTCGAGTTGGTCTTGCAGAGTGGAGGGTGCCAGAGAGGTAATGTACCACAGACATCTTTCTTTGAGAGACATAATTGGTCAGAACCATGTAACGGGTTCCCAGGACACATTCAGTCTGAGTTGGCTTGGGACAGCCTAAAATGGGGGCCCCATGGAGGGTCTGTGAGCTTCTGGTATTTTAGATGGGTCCCAGGGAGAGTTTCCTGGGCAGCATAGCAACAGAGATTAGGTGGTGGGGAGGGGGATCAATACACACCCAGGGCTAAGGGCAACTCTCTAAAGGGATAGGGAAGGGGAGGGGCCCAGGCAGGCAGTACTTGTTATAGAGCACGATGTCTGGCCGCCACACAAGACTACTGGGGATGCGGATGGAATCCAGGCCACCATAGGCATTGGGGTCCCATCGTAGGTACGCATCCATCCATTCCTGCCGGATCCACAGGTACAGGGTCAGCACCTGGTTCCGTTCATCCTGGTGGGGGTAGGGAGTAGACATCTGTATAAACATATCTTGCCCTCTTTGTGCATACTCACCTACAGGATTCTGGTCAGCACCCACTAAAATGATTTGTATATACAGTCTAGTACTTGTTATGTCACCTTGGCCTCACTTTCCTCAGCAGTTACATGGGGTGAGATTCAGGTATGAGATTGAGTTCAGGTGGGCAAAGTGTTGGGCACAGTGGGAACCCCACAATTAATAGATGTTATCATTGTTGTTAATATAATGCTTGCAGATAAAGAATTGTTGGGATAATAATCCCCATCTCTTATCCCTTTGTCCCCTTGACATGGTTACAAATAACATTCTACAGCTGTACTACCACCATAACGCACCATATCGATGATCTGGGACAATGTCACTTCCAAGGTCACATTCAGAGTCTGGTCTGTGTCTGCCACAGGTCTGAGGGCACTTGTGTAGTTGGCGAAGAGGTCACGGAACAGCTTGTGAGCCAGCCTGCCCTCAGCTCCCAAGCACTCTGGAGGATTGATTAGAAGGGTTGTGCATCCATGACCCTAGTCGAGGGGCTCTTTGCTCATATCCTCCACCCCTGGCTGGAACCTTATCATCTGCTTCACTATTTTATAGCCTTCTGATATTTGTCCTCTGTCCCTTTAGCTATGGCTCTTTCCTCCCTGGTCTGCCTCTAGGGAGGAATTAAGTAAAGACCATGGAACTCGTCTCTGGAGCAATGCTGACTATTTCTTCCCCACTCTTCCCTGCCCAAGGACCTGGATTCTTCCTGCCTTGCTACAGAGGCTAGAAGGACCCAAATAGGCCACAGGAATCCAAATTGTTATCCAGGTATTCTGAATTCTATTATCCTATACCTCTATTCTCTCAAATCTTTCCACTCCTTCATCTACATTTCAACTGTTTTTCCCAAAGCTTCCAATATATGGAACATTCCCTCTTTTGCAGTCAGCTACTGGTTAGTTGGTCTGTTTGTTTGCTTGCTTGTTTTGAGACAGGGTCTCACTGTGTTGCTCGGTCTCAACTCCTGTGCTCTTGCCTCAGCCTCCTAGGTAGCTGGGACTATAGGTGCATACCACTGTGCCTAGCATTATCTCTTTGTAAAACACATTAGGTCTCCCTCCCCACTCTGTACTGCGGATTGAACCCAGGGCCTAGCCTCCCCTCTTTTAAAACATTTTGAGACAGGGCCTTGTGAAGTTGCTGAGGCTAGCCTCAAATGTGGGATTCTCCTGCTTCAGTCTCTTGAGTAGCAGGTACTACAGGCATGCACCACTGCACCCAGCTCACACTAACCTTCCTAAGACATTTTCCTCATTCCCTGACTTAAACATTATTCTCTCAATCCTGTCCCATGCTCTGAAACTTTTTTTTTTTTTTGGTGCTGGGGATCAAGTCCAGGGCCTGGTACATTCTAAGGTTGTCTTCTACCACTGAGCTACACCCCTAACTCCTAAAATCTGCTTATTATCTGTGTTTACTATCTCAGCAAACTGCATCCCTAGTGACCTCAGGAAATCTGGGAATTATCCTGCCTTTGTCTTCTCTCTCCTTCTTCGCTTGCAATCCAGTCAGTCTCCAAATCCTGTCAGGTCCTCCAAATTCTGCTAGACATCTCTTGAATCCATTCTCTCCTCTCCATCTCAGGACACTTCCTCCCTCCTGAGCCATGGCAGCAGCAGCATCCTCACTGCTGCTCCTATCTCAAGTTTATTCTCTCCTACCACCCTTCATGCCTCCTGTAAATCAAGCTTTTAAACATGCAAATCTGACCAGGCCAGTACCTGCTTAAAACCTTTAAGGGCTCCCACTGGCTGTAAGATAAAGCCCTGATCTGGCATTCAAGGTCCTTCTCTGACTTTTCCAGCTCTGTCTCTGGAAGATCCCCCTGTCACTGTTCCCACCCCAGACAGGCAAGTCCCCTTTCACCCTCTTTAGCACTCCCTTCCTTCACAGTCCCAGCCTGAGAGCTTGTTCCCAGCATAAAAATTACTGAAGAGAAAGAAGAAGAGAGACCATGTGGAGAGAGCATTGGGGCAAGAGGAATAGCAGCAATAGCAGGAGAGGCTGTGGCTGGTTCACTGAGCTTCCTACCTGCCGAGAGCAGGAGCAGGAGCAGAAGGCCCAGGCAGAGGTGGTGACTCCAGGTCTCCATGGCCCTGTTACAGCCAGAGGTGGGGCAGGTCACTGGCCAGACCTAGGACAGCATCAGGCCCAGCCAGCAAGAATGGTGTGGACAGTACCTGAAAATCAGAAAAAGACTGAGAATTCTTGTGTCCACCTACCCTCTGGGGAACTCTGTGGCCCTTTTAGTTATCTGACCTTCTGATTCATACCTGCCCTACTATGTTAGTATGTGGCCCTTGGCACCTGTTGTTTTTTCCTTCTTTGCTGGTTCTTACCTCTTCTGGCCTGAAGTCTCTCTCCCTTTCTATGCTCTGTAACCATTTACTTCTAATCTCTCAATTTCCTTTTCTTCTGTAACCATCTTGGTCCCTCTGCCTCCCTGACTCTGATCTTTCTCTGCCCCTTTCCACTCTCCCTTTCTCCTTTTGTTTCAGAACCCCCTGACTTCTGTCCTCTGTTCTTTGCACCTGAACTCTAGGTGAGTTTGTTGATCTCCCAGCAGAACCAGGGGTAGGAATGTTATCAGCCTGAGGGTTCTGAGGCATAGGATAGTGGCCCCTCCCTCCTTGCCCTTTTTATTAGCTTACAGGGTTGGGGCACCTGTGCCCATGGAAACAGCAATTGAAACTGACACCTCAGGCTGTTGGGACCTAAATTATTCAAATTCTGTAAAGCAGCACTCAGGCTGAGTCCATCCTAGGACTGAGTACATTCTAAGGTTGTCATAAGCCATAGGCTTAAGGGTGTGTGAGGCCAGGGCCCATGGATGGCAATTGTTCTTCCAGCTCTGAAACCATTGCCTGAATTCTGGAGGCTTGCTTTCCACCTGCAGCTTTCCTCTCAGTGAGGCTAGGTGCTTTGTGCCATGAAACCTTTCCCCTCCTGGTGGGAGTCATGCTGAGCCTTAGGCCATGCCAGGGGATGCAGCCCGTATCCTCTTCACAGAGTCCTTGCAGTCTGACTTCGTCCCCTCCCTCCCCGACAATGTCCAAACACTGACAGTGTGGGGTTAGAGGGAAAGTTTAGGCTTTCAGCTCAGCTTTATGAGCTGTCTGATCTGGGTGATATTGAAACTCTGAGTTTCAGTTTTCTCAATCTGGATAATGGGATTACTGGTACTCACCTTGAAAGCTGAAGAATTAAATGTAATAACCAGAGAGTACAAGATAAGTGCCTAAGGTAGTAGACAACCAATAGTATTTGTTGTAAGGTGTGAGTTAGGACAGCTTCAGGATCATACACTTAAAATTCACAGGTATTTACCATGCAGTTTTACATGCTTTTGTCAAAGTTGGCCCATTAACTGACCAATGGCTATACATACTTTTCTGGCAATTACATTCATGGCCTAGAATCAGATATTGTAGATATGTCAATTCCTTGCTTTCTCCAGCCCAGTCCTCTCTCCTACATGATCCCTATATCCATCCACCTTCCCAATCTCCCTCTGGATGTTGCATGTGTTTCACATCATTTCAAAATGCAAGTGCTCACAATACCCAACACCCTTTCATTCTAAAAACTCTTAGCAAACTCAGAACAAAGAGGAACTTCCTCAACTTAATAAAGAACAAAAAATCTTATGGCTAACATTATATTTAATAGTGAGAAATTAGAAGCTTCTTTCCTAAGAGCAGAACAAGGAGGAGCAAATGAGAGCAGAGACATGGGGAAACGAAGAGTGATGCATATTAAGATTTCTGGTAATATCAAAGGAGAAGAGCCTGCCCTTCCTTCTAGAATTACTGCTTTATGTCAACACGATGCAACTTGTTTGTTTCAGAATTCCTTTTAATGACAAAATGATTTGGGAGGAATGTAGGTACTCATAATAGGAGAATGGCATGTAGACTATTTTCAGTGATAAAGCATGTACTTGCCATTATGTGAAACCCTAGGTTTGATCCCAACACCAAAAAATAAATGAACAAATAAATAAGTTTTGAAGGCTTTGTAGCAACATGAAAAAACACATGATATATGAAATAGAATGTCAACTACAATCAGAGCCAATAGAAGTGGTATGAGGATAAGAATATAAACTTTCTCGTTAGACCAAATTGAGAATTCAGTTCCCATTTTCTCTCCCACATAAGCTGTGTGATCATCTGCACATTTCTTGATTTCTCTGGGTTTTGGTTTTCTTTGCCAGGAAGAAACCAAATTAAAAACTCAATAAATAAATATTAGTCCCTGTATCAAATGAAATATTTCTTATATTTAGTATGTTTTCGGGTGAAAATGTTATATTGAAAAAAAGTTAATAGTCCAAAATTGGTTAATTTATATTTTAAGTTGTTGATAGACCTTTATTTTATTTATTTATACGTGGTGCTAAGACTCAACCCAGTGCCTAACACATGCCAGGCAAGTGTGCTACTGCTGAGCCAAAGCCCCAGTCCCCAAAAGTAGGTGATTTTTTAAAAAAATATTTATTTACTTATTTATTAAGATTTTCACATGCAATCTTTTTAATGTATGTTACATATTTATTTTTAAAAATATTTATTTTTTAGTAGTAGTTGGACACAATACCTTTATTTTATTTATCCACTTCCATGTGGTGCTGAGGATCGAACCCAGGGCCTCGCACGTGCTACACGAGCACTCTACCACTGAGCCACAATCCCAGCCCCTAAAGTGGGTAATTTTAAGGAGTTATTATGGCAAAAAAATTGTAAATCATTATTATATCTCTAATTTGAAAATAATGAGATGACCACACATATAAAGTTATAGGATTTACAATAATGAAATGATGGAATCCTGGCCACAATTGTTAGGAAAAAAGTTGACAGGAATTTATAAGGATGATCAAGCTGACAAGACCTGAACCAACACCTTCAAAGTGGGACAGCCAGATGTGTCCTTTGAAGTAATAAAGTAGTTTAGTACACAGCACCACCTATGAAGTATTGGGAGAGGTGGGAAAGAATGGGAACCAAGTCTCTAGATCTAACCAACAGTTTATAAAAAATACGGCAGTAGAGGCACAGTGAAGTCCCCAGCCCTCTATTCTAAAGGACAGATGCCCATTACTTCAACAAATAAAGGGCATTAAAAAGTTGTAGGGGATGGGCTGGGGATTTAACTCAGTAGGTAGAGTGCTTGCCTCAAATGCACAAGGCTGTGGGTTCAATCCTCAGCACCACCACCAAAAAAAAAAAAAAAAAGATGGAGGGGGTGCTGTGCGTGGTGGTGCATGCCTGTAATCCCAGCAGCTTGGGAGACTGAGACAGGAGAATTGCAAGTTCAAAGCCAGACTCAGCAATGGCAAGGTGCTAAGCAATTCAGTGAGACCCTGTCTCTAAAATAAAATACAAAATAGGGCAGGGGATGTGGCTCAGTGGAAGTGCCCCTGAGTTTAATCCCTAGTACCAAATAAAAGAGAAGATAGAGGGTGACTTAGTATACTTTCTTTTTGATATTTTATCTATTTCTTATAACTTTATTTTTATATGGTGTGAGGATCAAACCCAGTGCCTCACATGTGTAAGGCAATTGCTCTACCACTAAGCTACAATCCCAGCCCCTCTCTGTATTATGTAGACCCTGCTGAGATTATGATTCATGTAAACAAATTGGATTCACAGCTCTGTTGAGTCTTGGGAAAACTGGTTACGGTCTTTTGATTTTTGGGAAATTAAAACTTTTTTTAAAAATGGGGCTAGGAGCTGGGGTTGTGGCTCAGTGGTAAAGTGCTTGCTTAGCACACGTGAGGCACTGGGTTCAAACCTCAGCACCAAATAAAAATGAAATAAAGACTTTATGTCTACCTACAACTAAAAAACAAATATTTTTAAAAAATAGTGGGGCTGGGTGGCACACACATGTAATCCCAGAATCTCAGGAGGCTGAAGCAGGAGGATTGCAGGTTTGAAGCCAGCCTCAGCAACTTAGTGAGACACTGTCTCAAAATAAAATATAAAAAGGGCTGGTGATGCATCTCAGTGGTTAAGTGCCTTTGGGTTTAATTCTTGGCAACAAACAAAAAATAGGATTTGGAGATCTAGAAGAGATTTATTTCTTACCTTTAAGTGGTATCTAATCTCTATGATGCAACATGGCTTTTATAATAAACATTTGATTTAGAACTCTTTTTATATGAAGGAAATAATACTCGAAAAAAGAAATACTGCCCATATTCAACAGTCTTTAACACTGCTAAAAGCTAATCACAGCACTCTTGAAAACACCTCTCGCAAAGAAAGCAGGTTAAGAATTCTTTGCTAGAAACCTAGCAGTGTTCTGTCACTCACTCAGGTGGTCAGTCATGGAGGGAGGGGGATTCCCAACTGAATAACATTGTCCTCAAGGGCCCCAAGTTTAATTGAAGCCCTGGCCACAGGGAAGAACCACTCTGCTTTCTTATCCCCTAATATCTCAGTCCAGAAGTCTTTGGCCTAATCCTAACTGGAATTTGCTCACAGCTTGTTTGAAAAATCAAAATAAAACCTGAGTAATACTTATTTTGCTCTTTTGATTCCTCTCAAAATAGCCCTGTGTAAAAGCAACATCCAGAATCATCATTGCCTTTACAAAAAGGAATCTGAATTTGGAAAGGTGCATGACTCAGGTGTTTGTTGTTTGGGTGTGGATGTGGGGCACTGGGGATTGAACTCAGGGCTTTGCACTGGCCAGGCAAACAGTTTCAGCCCCATTCCCTTTTTTAAGTTGTTGATGGATCTTTACTTTTTTGTTTATTTATATGCGGTGCTGAGAATCAAACCCAGTGCCTCATTATGCTAACCAAGTGTTCTATCACTAAGCTACAACCCCAACCCCCATTCCTTTTTGAGACAGGGTTTTGAACCCAGGCTGGCTTTGAATTTATAATCCTCCTGCCTCAACTTCCTGAGTAGCTGGGATGACAGTCCTACAACATCATGCCTGGCATGACTTGAGACTTAAAAACAAACAAAAATACTCAAGTAGAAAAGCAAAGAAGCTTTGAATGGTAAATATATTCTATTGGGCAATATAAAGACCATCAACTGGAAATCTATGTGCATAAATGTGTAGCAATCA